TCTGGGCCAGGAGAAAAAGAAATGCAGCAATCTTCCCTGCACTGCTCAGTTTGCCTGAGTTGCCAAGTGCTCCTCGTTTTTCTTGTACCCTGCAATTCCAAGTCCATATTTTCCCCAAAGCAAAAGAATTCAGAGGGAACCACCTACAGTTCAGTAAGCCATTTCAGTATTTATTTCTGACTGTGGCAATTCCTTCAGTTCAGAAGTCACACTTAATTGACGGTGCCTGCTTTAATTCTGACCAAGCTTGCAGTGGCAGCTGGCTTCCCAAGGCTGCAGTACGTGGTGGTGGCACAGCCGTGGGCTTCTGCATTTGTGCCAATGCCACATTTCCTTTCTCTGTCTCGCAGGTCAGCTGGCGCTAGAAGTGGACGGCATCCAGTGTGAGTGAAGGTCAGTGCAGGAGCAGCTGCTGCTGGGAGGAAGGAAGTGCAGGCTGATGGACGCTGACGCATCTCCCGGCACGGCACCAGAGGAGGCAGCAGTGATGCTGGGGGGCAGCTGCAGAAGAACACGAGGAGCTCCTCAGCAGGAAGCCACAGACCCTGCAGAAAGCTGCAGCGGACTCAGAGCACGCGGGGATGCCCAGGAGGAAATGCAGGCCCAGCGTTTGAGCAGCGCCTGGCCACGGAGTGCTGCGGCCCAAGAACCAAGCTGTTGTGCCTTTGCCCAGATGGCTTTCCAAGGTGGACTCGTCTGTCCTCACAAAAACCAGAGGGCTGACTCGTTCAAATGCTGGCTGATTGCTTGGGAGCCCAAATCCTTCTGGCCTCCAATCTGGGGGAGCCTGGGGGCAACATCTCCTGGCTCTGATCATGCAGTGCGTGAGCGAGAGGATGACCCAGGCTGGTTACACAAGAGTCATCTTAATTTCTCTGTTTTGTTCCTTCAGATAACCCCATTGGGCGGCCCTCATGTTTTCTTACAATTCAGTACCAGCCCTGGTGGCTTTGGGCCAGAGCCCAAAAGGCTGCATGCAGCCCAGGGGCTCACAGCCACAGCCCCAGTCAGAGAGGCTGGCACACGCCCTGGGCCTAAAGATGCTGCCAGAGAAGCCGGGAGTGGCCCTGGGGCCTAAACACACAGCCAGAGAGACTGGCACCGGCCAAGGGACCTGAAGGCACAGCCTGAGCGGCCAGCACCGACCCTGGGTTGAGGCACAGCCAGAGAGGCTGCACTGGCCCTGGGCCTAAACCTGGAGCCACAGCACGAGAAGCCGGCACCAGCTTCGGGCCTGAAGCCACAGCCTGAGAGCTGTGAGACCACTACGAGGCCATACTGCGTTTTTACTGGGCTGCCCAAGGTCATCTTCACTTCTCTGTTGCTTTACTTCAATTAACCCCCATTCAATGAACCCCATTCACCCCATTGGTGAGTCTCATGTTTCCTAAAACTTGGATCTGGGAGGTGACCACTCCTTTGCCTGTGATGCAAGCGCAGCGGTGATGCAGGCACTTGCTGAGGTCACAGTGGTTGCCAGGCTGGGAGCGTTTGTGCCCCAGCTGGAGCAGAGCTGGTGCTCTAGTGAGCGTGCTGCACACGGAGACTGAGCTCTGTGCTTTTCGAGAGAGAGATCCTCCTTTAGAGCCCACTGGGAGCAGCGCTGCGGCGTGTGCGTCAGCTGGGCACAGCTCCGGCTGAGCAGGCTGACCAGGTGAGCTGGGTTGGCGCTGGCTGGGTGCTGGGAGGTATCAGCAGAAAAGCTGGGCTGGGGAGGAGTTCCCAGGTCAAACGGTGCCCTTCTGAATGGCTGTACCCAGGGGATGCCCAGCAGGTGTTTCAGCAAACTGCGCTGAAGTCTCGGCAGAGAGCCAGGTGGGGGCATGGACGGTCAGCACACGTGTGGGGGAAAAGCGGACCTGGGGGCACTTGCTGACAGAAGCCGTGGCAGTCAGGCACCAGCTGCAGCTAGGGATGGGCAGGCAGTTCTTGCAGCCAGCTGATTTCCAAGCATTGCCTTCCTCAAGAGACGACATTGCATAGCAGAAGAAAGCTGGGAAAATGCTTCTTCCTCATGATTTTTCCCTTGTTGATGCTTTCTGTAGGTTCCTCTCCAAAAGGAGAACTCAGGAATCCAGGCAGCTGAAGATTGCGGCGCTGCAGGCGATGTCAAGTAAGGAGTTTGGAGTGCAGGAAGGGGCAGTGAGAAGTGAACTATCAGTTGTGTTTGGGCTGTCAAAGTAGCATCTTTCTGTTTTCTGGGGGGACATGGGCTTACTAGGCAATACTTGTGCTGCCTGCTGGTGTCTGTGAAATCAACACACCATCTGTTGTTGTAGGGACAAAACCTGTGCATCTGTGGAACGGTGCGGGGCAAGGAGGGAAACGTAAAGCCTCCGCAGGTAAGAAGCTCCTGTGAGCTGTGGTGTGGGCACTGCCTCTAAACAGGGCTGCATGAAGGGCTGCGTGTGATGGAGGGGAGAGCAAGGGACTGCAGTTCTGTGCTGACTGCAGAAGTGGCACAGGGCTGCAGCAGCAGAAAGGCAAATTGCCAAAACTGCTGCTGAAGACCAGAAGCTTGTGGTTGGCAGTGCTCAAATCTTCCTCCCAAGAGATGCTCTTCATGTCTTTCTTGTCTCCTTTGTGTCAGAAGCTGATGCCAGTGGCCTTCCTCTGAAGCGCAGCCACGTGGAAAGCCAGGAGTGTGGCACAGCACCCAAGAGAGGTACAGACACACAGCAGGCATCTGGGTTTGGGGCACTGTCTTTCTGGTTAGGCTTTCTGCCTGTTCTTTCCTGGGACTGTTCTCATTGCGTGGGGTTGCTTGGGGTTTTAATCCCTGGGATTGACAGTTACCTCTCCTGTCCTGATTTATAATGGGATCCCAGCGTTCACCCAAGATCCCTTGCTGTGAACATGGTACAGGAGAGCAGGCATTGACTCTTTGGGATTTTTTCTTGCTGTTCCCAGCAGTGGCGAGCAGCTCGGATGTGCCGGAGGACATCACGGACATCCAGGGTTTGCTCTCTTGGATCAATGGTGAGTTTGGGGCTGCAGAGCTGCAGGTGCGTGTTTGCACAGAGTGGGTGTGAGAAGGCTCTCATGGCCATTTGGGGGATGTTTTTGCATTTTCAGACGTGGCAAGAGCTGCTGAGGTCCCCCAGGAGAACCCCAGCAGCCCTGCCCCCGGATGTCTCATCGCTGAGCTCCCTGACAACCCTGGGGACAGCAGAGAGCTCAGCACACAGGCTGCTACCGGGACGCCCACCGACCCCTTCTGGGGGCTTCCTCCATCCCCCGGGCTCCTGTCTGAGCTGCAGTGCGGGCTGTCGGAGCTGCGCCCCGTCGTGCCACCAGCGAGCGCCCGGCTCAGCCCACGGCCGACCACCCTGGCCGTCAGCGCACCTCCCTCAGCGCAAAGCGCACAGCCCACCGAGGAGGTGCAGCAAAGGCAGCCCCAGGAGGCTCAGGCTCACTCGCCCCCGTCGCCAGGCTCTGTCCCCAGCCAGGTGGCAGAAAAGAAGAACAGGGGCAGCACCAAGCGGGGGGCCAAGCGCCCTGCGCCTGCCGGCACCCTGCAGAAAGGGGAGAGATCCCAGCAGGAGCAGCCCACCAGCAGCGCTCCTGCCAAGAAAAGGAAGCTGCCGCCCCGCGGGGAAAGAGCAGAGAGGAAAGGCCGCAAACAGCCGTGCCAAGCAAAGCTGTCTGGGGCCGGAGCAGGAGCCAGCGAGCTGCGCAATCACCTGCAGCAATGCATCCAGGCCGTGCACCCGCTGGGGCAGAGGGTGACTGCGGTGGGCCCGGTGCGCCAGCCACCCTCTGTGCAGCCCCAGCCCTCAGCCAGCGCTGGCCCTGCTGCCCTCCAGCCCCAAGACAGCCATGCGCACAAGGCAGAACCAACAGCTCCAGGCAGCACGGTGCAGGAGGAGGGTGCTGCCAAGGAGGCGACGCCGAGCTGCCCGCGCCCGTCCCCGCAGAGGAGCTCGGCGCTGCAGAGGGACCCACCGCCACCACCACCACCACCAGCGCTGCACCAGCAGCAGCCTCAGCCCCGGCGCCCCGTGGACTTTGTGCCCTGCGTGGGGCCGCAGGCGGGTGGCGGTGTAATACCGCTGGTGATGGAGGAGTCGCTGCCCATCACAGCCGAGCAGCGGCCCGAGCGGGAGCGCATGAAGAACCTGGCCCAGGAAGAGCGGCAGCGGGCGGCCCAGCAGATGAAGATCGGCCCCGTGCAGTTCCTGGTGCAGCGGGAGATAGACATGGCCATCGCCGACCAGTACGGCTACCCGTAACCCTGCGCTCCTCGCCGGCCCGCAGCACCAGGCAGCAGCGGCAGCGTTCCAGGGGCCCTGCCAGCGGCCCCATCTCTCCCCTCCACAACCAAGCCGTCCTCCGAGTCAGCACAGCAGTGGGATGGGACGTCTGGGAGCACAGCTGTGGTGGGACTGGAATTTTAGCATTACTGTTGTTTCTGTTTCTCCTTGTAATCTAGGATAGGTTATTACAAGCTTTGCATTCCATTTGCTACGTCCCTCTGCCTGCAGTCATTTGCGCCGTGTCACAGCCCCCAGCTCCCCATGCCTGCCTCCGGAGCAGGACGGGCACCACGGATGGCCCATGGTGTCCCTCAGCTGCCACCAGCAGCCCCAGCCCTCCTCTCTCCCTGCAGTCCTTTGTGCAGCTGGATGCAGAGGGTGTTTCACAGAGCTCCCTGCGCTGCCCAGTGCCGTGAATTGCCGTGCGGATGGGCAGCAGGCAGGGCAGATGGAGGGGAATGGCCCCGGCTCACTATGGCCAGAAGAGACTCCAGCAGGGGCAGTTCCTGTGGAGAGATGAAGCAGGGGCAGCAGGGACTGCTGTGCAGACAGACATAAAGATACCACCCATGCCATGGCTCTTCCGCGCCCACCTTGTTTACAGCACCATTTAGCATTCCCCCCCCCACTAATATTTATAATAGTTAGCTCAAAAAATCCAGATGGTTTTTAAATATTGTTTTTAATTAAAAGACAACCCTGCAGCCAGTGCTGTCAATATTTTTCACTGGACTGGGAGCTCCTCCTAGCAGTGAATTCTCTCTCTGTACCATTGCTTCTGCAGCAGTTACTGTTTGCCTCCACATCCCTCTGGGGTCCCTGCATGTGTCCCTTTCTGGAATCTTACTTCTCATTGGGAAACACCCTCACACCTTTCCTCTTTGCTTTTGTGTATGGAACACCTGTAATTTGTTCTCCTTTGCATGAACTTTATTACAACCTTTGGGCTGTAATACCCATGACAACGAAAACACAACTTGCGTTTTAAAGTGACGCTGCTGTGTTTTGTACCAATGTCCAGATCAGTGCTCCTTTGGTCTCTGAGGTAGGACATAATAACCGGTCCTGAGGTAGGGTGAAGGGGAGCGGCGTGAAGCTGTGTGCGTTCCCTGCTGGGGGGCCGTGCTGGCGGCGGGGGGTTGGTTTGCTTTTTCTTGGCAGGGTGGGCAGGAGCTCTGGGTTAGAGGAGCATCCCGACAGCACGCCTGGGATCAGCAGCTCTGCCACAGGAGGAGGTGAGGCTGCACGCGGAGCTGCAGGAGAGGAAGGGGAGGAGGTCTCGGCCCAGCTCTGGACGGTGCTCTGCAGCACTGGGCAGCTCGATCCTGGCTCAGCAGTGGGATCACGCGAGGAGCGGGGGAGGCAGGGAGGGCACTGCCAAACACAGCTGGGGTGTCTCTGTGCAGTTTTGCCTCCCCGGGAGGAACCCAGAGCTTCCCGGTTTGTTTCTGCTCCTGTAGCATTTGTATGCAGTGGGAGCATAAGGTTCTGCTGCCTTCTTCTTCTTCCGGCCTTTGGTATCTTCAGGGGGGCTGCAAGAAAGAAGGGGAAAGAGTTAGAGAGTTTAGATTGGACGTATGGAAGAAGTCTGTTACAATAAGGGTGGCACTGCAGCACAGACACTGACAGACCCTAGGGATCTCTCAAGCCCTGAGCACTGTGTGTCAGGGCCTGGGGATAGATGGGATGGAGGGCGCCATCCCTGCCCCGTACCAGGGGGACCATTGCCACCCGCAGAGCTTCCCTCATGCTTTGGACAGCTGTGCAGAGGAGGAGGGTCTCGAGGTGTCCTAGGGATGTGATCAGCTCTGACATCCTCCAGTGATCAATAAAGCCCTCAGCAGAGCCACACTCTGTGTCTGCGTCCCCATGCTCAGCAGGGGCTGTTCGTGTCTGCTCCTGCCTGGCAGAGGCCACCTCTACGTGGTGGGAGGGGTCCCCAGCTCCATACCCCACACCCCATGTGCTGCACCCATGGGCCTCTCCATCCCTTCTGTGCTGCCTGCTCCAAAAAGGACACAGCTCCCCATGCTGCCAAGCAGCCCCAGTACCCTCCCTCTGCTCTCTCCCAGTCCCTCCTTCCAGTTCCTCCCAAACCCTTCAAATCTCCTCTCTGATGACCAATGACGCCCTCTGCTGATTAGCAAAGCCCTCTGACCTCACTGAAGATCCCTGATCATCAGTGGAGCCCTCTGACAGCCAACGAAGCCTTCAGTGACCGCTGACGCTCCCTGGTGGCAAATTGAGCCCCCGATGATCAGCGGGCTGCTGTATCACATGCAGGAAAGGGAAGTGAAGGGCGAGAAAGAATATTTTGACATCATTTGGTAGACAGCATGGTTTGCTCATCACAGAATAAAGATTTGTGTGGATTCAATTAAGCACCGAATTTGGAGAGAAGTGTGACTGCACCACACCTGTGTGCGCTGCCCGCTGCCTGGGACCGGCTGCCTGATTCTAAGCCCTCCTCCAAGAGGCTCAGCTGCTCCTCAGCGATGCCGACCCGCTCCTCGTGGAGCTGCTGCTGGCCGGGCACTCGGACTCCGCTTGGCTGGGCTGCACTGCAAAGACACTGGGTCACAATCCAGGCTGGGGACTGCGATGGCTGCTGGGCTCACGTCAGCATCTTCAGCAGAGCCAGGAGAAACGAGGGCGGGACGGTGGATGAGCTCCTTATCCCCATCACTGTTGTGCTGTGGAAGGCAGCCATCAGACCTGCAGCGATTCGTGCTTCCTGAGAGCTCGGCACTGAAGGAAGCACTCAGTGCACCACACTGGGCCTGGGTCAAAACCACTGAGATTCACCTAGGAATGAGCAGATACACGGGGTGAGTGTCAAGTGTGCAAGTAGGCCACGCCACTGGGCTGATAACCAGAAGCTCGGTAGCACTTACAGTCCTGTGTCTGACTGCATTCCGTATCTCCAACCACGTCCTTGCCCCAGATCGGGGGGGTGGACAGTCCATTCCTGGGTGGCCCACTGCGCAATGCAAAGAGTGAGCCCCCGGCACACAGCCCAACTATCTGTGCAGATGTTCAGGATGCCATCACCGGGTCCCTCGCTCACAACCATCCACACGGCTCGCAGTTCTGCCCGTTGCCTGCTCTGACCATCCCCCTCGTCCAACCAGATCGTCTCGCTGCAAGGATCGTACGCTGCTGCTCTCCACTCGCTCGGGTTGCCCTTGCTGGACCCATCTGTGCACCAGGCATCTTCAGGGATCGGATATTTTCCCTCCTGAACGGGACTCTGCTCTGGTGGAGCGACCAGTCTTTCTTTTGCTGCATCACTCCCTGAAGCTTTGGAGACAAAAGTCAGTTGAAAGACTAGAACAACACAGAGCAGGAGGGGGAAGTGCAAGTGCTCGCCCAGAGACAGAAAAAAGGTTGATTCAAGTATTACAGTATGACAATCATGCACTGCAATTCAAGTATTACAGTATGACAATCATGCACTGCAAATACTCCAGTCAAGTGAAAATCTGCAGTCAGTACAGGAAGCCTGAGGTTTCAGCATTCGCAACAGAAGCCAGCTAACAGAAGCACTGCGGGAGCTGCATCTGCCTGTGCCCCTTCTCTCATGAAGCCCAACACCAAACATTTGTGCTCAGCTGCTACTTTAAAACACCACAGTCACTGTTCCAACAGCCCTCCTGCTACCTCTTCCATCAGAGCTGTGCCTGCAGACCCCAGGCAAGGCCGGGGTGCTCTGCCTTATCCAGAATAACAAAAACATGCAACGGCAGCAAGAGAAGAAGTTTGCACCTGCAACGCCCTGCCCATTTCTCTCTTCTGCTATTTGGTGCACTGCCAATACATGACCAGCCCCACCACTCCAATTTTTCTTTCTGAATTAGCAATAAGGCAAGCAAGTGGGAAGCAAAGGCATCTGGCAGCGATGCCAGTCAGCTCCTGCAAAAAGCAGCTCACCTCATACTTGGGGCCAAGTGAGAAACAGAAACACCCCGACCTGTTCCTGATCACAGTGCAAATGTGAGCCCTTTTCACACTGGAACCCTTTGGGCATTCCCTCTTTACAAACAACAGCAACAACAGCATCACCGGAAGCTCGTTGAAGTCCACAGACCAAATCACCAGAACAGAAACAATGGGAGATGGCAGAGGCCTCAAGTAGCTCCAACAGGAGCGTTAGGGCTTCAGGGCGGTTGGTTAGTTTGGTTTGTCACAGCAGTTAAGAAAGCAGGGAAGTGAGAGAGCTTTGTATTAACCGAGTTCAAAACAGACCTCAGAGCTCTGATTCCGGCTGGGAGCTCTGTGCACCGGACCCAGCACCAGCCATCTGCCTGTGCCTTGCAGCACTTTGCTCCAGCAAGCAGGCCGTGCACTTACTGCATTGTCTCTGCTATCTCAGACAACACACAACAGCATCATTTTAACCCCAACTCCATCCTGGATGCAACCCCTGGGTGTGTGCATGGAGTCCAACTCCTCATATTGTGCAGAGCACGCAGTGCCCTGCATGAGGCCACAGAGATCATCACTGGGACAAACCAACAGTAAACCAAAGCAACCGCTGCGTTTAGAGTTACCAACACTAAAGACAGAGGTGCTCACCACACTCAAATCCCAGGCTGGTTTTGGGCATGCGTTCCCATCTTTGTCTTTCCCCATCGTGAGTTTAACTCTCACCTCACTACTTACAGCTGTCAGGGCAAATTTATGCCACCTACTTTTACACATCCAACAGTCAGCTAGCCAAGACCCAGCTAGCACTGTCTAGGCTCCCTGTGAAGTTAATCCAAATAAATATGCATCTCCAGAAGGAAAATAACTGCAGAGCTGTGGCTCCAGAGAGCAACTCCTACCAGGAGCTCTGCAAAACACTCGGATCCCACATCCAACCTATTGCTGCCGTGTCAGAGATGAGTCTGCACTCAGACGTTCCCTTCCCAAATCACACTGCACAGCTGTTTCTCTCCTGGTGCTGCCTTCATGCAGTGAAGTCACCTCTCCAAAGCTTCAGGCCTTCACGCTCAAGCTTCCTCAAGCTGCCAGCTTGGCATTCCGTCCATCTTGGGTTCTACTGGTGAAACAGCAACAGTGGCAACTATAGGAGACGTGACAGGATTTAAAGTTTAGAAAATAATGACAAAGAAAACCACAACACAACAGTCAGGTAATGGTGACCTAATCTCCTAAACTGTCTTCCTGCCAACCACAACTTCAGGGTTTCAGAGACCTTGGTGCATTATCAGCTTGCTCTAAAAATGCCTTATCTGCAAACCAGAAATGAGCATATCGCAGCTTTCAGACAAGCACCATCCAAAACAAAAGGGAAGAATGCCACAAACTTGCATACCCCCCTCTAACCCCCCCGAGTAAAAAGCCAGAAACTTTATTATTCATACCAAACTCTTATACACAAAAGCTCCTATGTCTTTTAAAATATCTTAGCTCTTAGTCCATCACAACAACAACGCGTCACACAAATGGGCCCACGCTCAGACCCCTACAATACAGACTTAATCTTCAGTGCATTGTGCTAGAAAAGCGTTCATTTCACTGTCACTTTGAATCAGGTCACGAGAAGAGTGGTAACACGACAGCCAGAATGCTGAGAATCAGCTGTGGAGAGGAAGTTTTGGAAACAACACGCCATAAGAATGACATGCTGTGAAAACGCAGAAAGCTGCTTGCTTGAGACTGCGCTGCTGCACTGAGGCAGAAGAGGCCACACTGAGCAAAGCCTCTGGAATTCCCTGAGGACGGCACTGCAGCGGTGAGAAGGAACTTGGGAATGTTGTACACTCAGAGCTAAGCAGCACTCGAGGGATTCTGCAGCAGACAACAGTTCAGGCACAGGGCCTTGGAAGAAGATCTGAAGTGGAGCCTGTATAACAGAGTTAAGAGCCAGAGCCAAAGGGCACCGAAAGGGAAAACACTGCAGGGCAGCGGGAAATGAGATGAGCAGCAATCCAGAGACCACTTCAAATCTCTTCAAAATATACAGAGCTACTCATTTAATTACACACTGGACACAGCCAAGAGCAGTTTGGGTTTGCTCTTCTCTTCCCTGTTTCAGCTCGTTACATTTGCACATCGTGTTACTGTTACAAAACAACAACAAAACCCACCCAAAAAATGCAACTAAGCTGAACAAGGAGTGGATCAGTGAAGGAACAGAGCCATGGCAGCTGTGTGCTGCACCAGCCCACCCTGCACAGCCACGGTGTCAGCACTCAGCCACAACCCACCGTGCTGCTCAGCGGAGGGCTGAAGCCCTCGGTTACGCTGCTCACAAGGGGGTTTCTACTGAAAGCACGGGAAGCAGCAGATGTGCAGGGAGGAAAAGCTCCTCCGTCCTTAACTCTGGCTCACGACCAGATACGTGACTGAGAAATTGCACTGTGATACCCCAGAATCAGTAACAAGCAAAGCACGTGGTCATTCTTACAGGAGGTCCAGAAATGAAAGAGCAGCGTAAAAAGAAAAACAGAGGTGAACAGATTTGCTTCAGTGCTTGCTTAACTCAGGCAAACCTAATGTGGAGAAGAAAACTGAACTTTGTAACTGAGCTTGGAGGGACTTACTAAACAGCAGGTCAGCCTGGATCCAGCTGAGCTCCTGGATCAGCTGTTTTCTGTTGGCTCAGGCTCCTGTGAAAAGCCAAGAGCAGAAATCCAGCTCCAAGGGCTCAGAAAGAATAAACGACAGAGAGCCCAGGCCACCTGAATTGTTTGTTTTTGTTTTTTTTTTTTTTAACCAGGAAAGATGTTTGATGAAACAAGTTGTTCCAAAAACTGTCCTCAGTTTTCCTTGTTCCACTACCAAGACGACAAAAAGCATCAGCTTCTCTCATGTGCACTGAGTTCAGTACCTCAAATGCTGTGGACCACTGCCATCGTTTGACAGAAAACACGTGCTTAACACAGAACATTCCTTTCCTCCAGCCAAGCATGAGCAAAGCCTCTCGCCTCCCTCACAATCCTCCTCCTGAATTGCAGCCCTGAGCTCCCTACCATGCTGCTGCACTCTGCCAGGTGATCATTATTCAGCAGAACTGCCATGGGAACAGAGGAAGACACTTCTCATCACTTCCCAGCTTCCAAGCACACAGGTTTTAAGTCAACTGTTTGGCTTTTCTCCAGCTTTACTCCAAGCCTCGGGCACAGACGACCCTGCATCCGTCTGGTCTTACTAACGCTGCTAATGCAATATTTAAAGGCTGCTGCATGAACAGGAAACTGGGATCTATTTGTGCCCACAGGCCCCAGGCACCATTCCTCAGCTTGCTCCAGCAAGCAAATCCTTTGACAACAACAAGACATCTTAGGTTCACTTTTCCACTTAAAGGAAATGGGCAGAACTCAGTGCTAATTTTCCAGCAAAATGTGCACTTCATTCCTTTTATAAGCAGCTCTTGCAGAGACAGTTACCAGCAGTGGAAATAAAGCCAGGCAAGGAAACAAACCTGCAGGAACCAAGTCCTACTTGTCACACTGTCAGTGAGACACTGAATCACCGCATTCCAAGAGCCAACTTCAGAGCAAGCAGGCACCAATCTGTGAACCTCATGAAAACCAAACACCAGCAGCATATTCTATGCACAGCCCTGTCTTGTCTGGATTTGAGAAACAAGGTCCTGAGGTAAGGTTGATTACAACAGCTTTTCTTCTGAATAACACCACAGCGACATGCTCCTGCTCAAGTACAATGAGCAGAGTGCTCTCCAGAATAGCCCAGGCTCTTCCACTGTCACACCAGGCAGACCAGAACCGTGACAGCTCTGCGCTGAACAACTCCAGCATTTAGTTCAGCCACCAGCAGCAATTCCTCCCAATACGTACATTCCATAAGATCAACACTTACAGCATCAGGAAAATCCCATTTCAGTCTTTAGAGAACGCAGCAAGTCTTCAAGTTGCATCCATCCAAACTTCTGATGCTTCACGTCTGTTTCCACGTGAGCCCACGGGGGTACGTGCACAAACCCCACTGTTGGTTAGCAGGACTGGGAACCCTGCTTTGAAAACACACCCAGCGTGTTCTGGCGCTAACAGAAACACCGACAGATCTCAAATGCATTATAATCAATTCCTTCTCCGAAAATACTGGCCTGCTAACTGTTGCCCAGGATTCTAATCAGTCAGAAGCAGTGAATCCCTTGTCTCATTCACCATCTGGGCAGCACTCTCGCTTCGTCAGAAGAACAGGACGTTACACCATCCCACCTCATGGCAGAAGAGTGAATTACAGAGATACTGCAAGACTCAACTACACAAAACGCACACAACATGCAAAGAGACAGCCCGTATTCCAACAAGCTTTAGTCCCCCTGACAATTAACATCCAGACGAGCTCGTGGGTTTCAAATGTCACTGTTCGGCCAAAGAATCAGCCAGTGAGATATTCCAGCCTGCGCTTCTGATCCACCTGGTGAGGCAGC